CGGTTGTATTAATGCGCGGTAAATATGAACTCGTTAAAAGCAACACAATTTTATATCCAAAGTTGTTAAATTATTTTAAAATTAAATTATAAGGAAAGACTCTAATTCTTGGCCAAATTATCGAGTATGATCTGCTTTGGGTCAGTTTACGCTTTATAATCCGCGAAGCGTAGGGACCTTAAACTCCGTCTATCCTATATTTGAATAAACAGGAAATGTACGAATAAAGAACGAGGGCGCTTTTGATTGGCATTCGGCAGTGAAAGTTTTATTGACATGTCATATGAAATTTTAACATTTTTTTTAGTTTATCGGGTTCCTGTGCAACAGAAACGGAAAATATTTTCCCTAAATTGAGCTTTGATTTGCTAAAAAATAACTTGGAAATTGGCCATATCAGACATTTGGTACAAAATGGTACATTTTTAAACACATTTTTCTAATTTTTTTCTATGCCTGGGTCTTCTCTCCATGATTTTGAAACGTTATTTGTGTGTATTTTAATTCAAAGAAACGAATACACTTTTTTAAAAAAATAGAGAGAAGACCCAGAGACCACGAAAAAATAACTTTTCCCCCAAAAATTCCAAATGTGTCAATGTGATACTTCTTTGTCCTTTTAAAAACATTTGTACATGTGTAGCGGTGATAGCTCAGTAAGTTAGGCTACGTATTCAATGTACTTGAAACGAAAACTTTTTGGTTCGAGCCTGGCATGGGGCGCTAAATTTTTTTTCCAGGCAAACAATCATTTATTTTGTCAGTTTCGTTTTATGTACTGATGTATTAAAATTTTGAATTAGATAAATTAGATAATTAGATAAATTTTGGTTCAGTTTGGTTCTCAAGCGAAATCAATTCTAATCTTCTGTTCTATAATGTACATGTACACGTATTATGCATGTATGCATTAAATGTTTTAGGTTTTATTTTTTGTGAAACATTACTATGTTAAAGTACCCCCTAAAAAATGGACATAAATTATACAATTTCACAATGTCTTTCAAACTAAATGAAAAAGCAAACACAAACCAATTACGTGTTTGTAAAATCTAACCAGCTATGTTCAGCCAACCAAATCATGGACATTTAAACCATAAATGTTTCGTACAAATGATTCCTCCAGATCACCCGCCAAATGCGCCCATCTTCTTTTAACATCCGGTAATGTTAATACATTTGAGGTTGTTTTTCCGACTTCTGACGGAAAGACCCGAGATGATGCGATTGTCCTTGAGCAAGGTATTTAATTTTGTTAAGGGATGTTTCCATTATTAAAAACCTTATAAAAATTCCATGTGAAAATTAATTTAGTTGTTTTTATTTTTAATTAATTTTCAGTACAGTGATTTGAATTTTAAAAATTATTATTTTGTTGAATAAATCTCTAAGAATTAAACTGGTTTGGCAAGTTTATCTAAAAATACTCATGCAATTTAAATTGACTTTGAGAGTGGTGCGTGTTATGGTTATAAGAATGTTTGTTAATCTTGTGTTTCATAAAAATTGAATTATACCAAATATTTTATCCTTTTGTCGTTAATACAATAAATATCGGTATATTGTTTATTTCAATATAGAGACCACTCACACAGTTCTTAAGATATTTCATGTATGAGTGACCGGGTGTTGTATCGCCATGTTTTGAGGGTATGTGCTAGTTTGAATTTAAACTAGAACTGTCCAATAGGGACAAATACCCCCAGCTGGGTTTTTCAGAGAAGGTGCCAATTCAAAAATACTTTATGGATCTAGAGGTGTTCACAATATACTTACAAAAATTTGCAGTGAAATATAATTGCTCATAATATTTCTTAATAAATGAAACAAATGTGCAACCAAATGAAACATCAATACTAATACATTGTAATTCCATTGTAACATTTTTTTTATTTTTTCATTTTATTTTTTTTTTATTACTGCATTAAAAAAATATATTGCATTTATGTGTTATGTCACTTTGCAAACTGATTGTTGATATCAATTTGAAATGAATTTTGAAAATAAAGAGCTGGTCATCCAGTAATGAAGTGCTTTGACAGACAATAAATTACAATTAAGAGAATAAGAGAAGAGAGATCTTTAATTCTTGTTCCTTATTCCCTGGAGATAGATAACACACACACGCTTGATAAGAGATATGCCTTAACAATTTCCAACACCAAACTCATTAATTTATCTTTAACTGGATGCATGTCCAGTCATTATTCCCAAGAGACAAATGAAATTACATTATCTTCTGTGCAATGTAAAAACTGTTTTTAACACTTGATGATGTTTCTTTTTTATAAGTTCTTTTGAGTAGTTTTAAGTTGTAGTATTTTGAACAGATATTCTAGATTCTATATCTCAAACCTTATACATGAGCCCAAAATGAACAAGTCAATTAAAATAAAAAATAAAACCTGTAAAATGCAAAAAAATCAACAAAAAGAGTTGAAAATTCAAGCTGCACACCTTCATATGGTGAATAATAAGTGTACAAATTTTCAGATTAATCCTTCCAATAGTTTCTGAGAAATGGTTCGGACAAAACCACAAAATAAAAATGAAAAAACACATGTAAAATTCAAAATAATAATCGAATCAAGATGAAAATTGGTGCACACTTGCATATGGGAATAATAAAAATTTTAGTTATTCCTCTTATTTCACAGAGCTAAATTTGAAAACAAAATGTTAGAAATGTTAAAATACTGGGAAAATGCCAGTACAGTCAAAACATTGGTACAACAGTGGCAATAAGAGTGTTCGTACTTGTATATATTTACCATTGTTATTATGGTGTAGAGTCTTGTGGAGTTGATTACACTCATTCTTATTTTATGATATTGTCAAGAAATATTTTCTTTTACCAATACACATTGCAAATGTGTTTTTTTACATTTTTTGTTGTTGTCCCTCATTGCAAAATTTGATAATTTAATTTCAATTTAAAATAAGAAACTTGACTTTATTTTCACAATGAATAGATATATACATGTACATGTATAAAGGAATTTAAACAAATGATTTTGATTGTTTACTTAGAGAGAAAAATACTCTCTCTCTTTTTTTGCATCATCTGGATAAATAAAAGAAACATAATAGTTAATACAGTTCTGTTATTTTCAAAAAAATCATATTTATTTCATATATTTTCAAATGATAGTCAGTACTTTTAGTGATTTTGTTTTTTTTACATTTGATTATGTAAAAATTATAACTAAATTCATTGTTCTATGATCATTTTGAGAAGCACAAAAGAAGATATTTTTATATGCCACTTTTCATAAAAGAATAAAGTCTCTGCTAGTTAATTTTGAATTGCAGTTAAGCATTTCTCTTTGAATTAACAATTGTGATGATGTAAAAAGAAAAATATCCTCTTTTAAATCTCTTACACTTAAATATATATATATATATATATAGGGAGAGTTCTATATTAATATTTCTTCACTTAGGGCAGTTATGTTAGTTTGAGAGTTGTTGTAAAAATGTGCTTTATAAATATATAATTAATTTCATTACAACATGTATTTAACAACTTTTTAATGTTCAAACAACTTATTGGCTTTCCCACGATGAACGTGTAGTGTAGGACAGCCAGGGAGGCATCGGCATCGAAAGCAAGTTTTTTGACTTGCCAGTACCTCTAGTTAATCTTGAAACGCTTTGTTTCTTAATTTCATTAAATCTATTCCGAAGGGAGAGTTCAACCCCGGGCTGGGGCGGAAGTGGGTATCCATGTAAAAGTGAATTTCTTTGTGCTTTCTATATTAATATTTCTTCACTTAGGGCAGTTATGTTAGTTTGAGAGTTGTTGTAAAAATGTGCTTTATAAATAATAATTAATTTCATTACAACATGTATTGGTAACATTTCATCTGTTGAAATAAAATTCAAATAACTGTATGACATTTAAAATGTATGACCGTGTAGATTTAAACAGCGCCGAAGAATTCCATGCCAATTTCGAAAGCAAGTTTTTTCACTTGCCTCAAACACAGCGGTCTAGCGCGCTGTTCCTGCATGCTAGGAGACAGATACGAAGGCGAGATTTCAACCTCCTTGGCTGCTGACCTATCATCCATGTAAAAGTGAATTTCTTTGTGCTTTCTATATTAATATTTCCCCAACTTTCAAACAGTTATCACAGTTTGAAAGTTGTTTAAAAATGGAAATATAAATATATTAATTGCTTTAAAAACATAAATATTAGTAAATTTTCTGTTAAAACTAATGTTCAAATAACTGTATCCCCTTTAATTTAGGTGATTTCAAGAAAAGCGTAAGAGAGAATTCCATCGGCATTAAACCAAGTTTTTTGTTTCCTGATTTACAGCTACAGCGCGCTGTTCATTAAATTTCATTGACAGATTTCTAAAGTGCATCAAAAAAACCTTAAAGAAATTTTTACAGCAACATTTCAGAAATAATTTCATTGTCATTATCTATTGTCAATTTCATTCACAGGGCAGAAATGAAAAGAAAAGAAAAGTTGTAAGAAAAAAATGGATATTCATTAATATAATAATATTAAATTAAGGTTATATTCACATCTTTTTGTTAAAAAATGTTCAAAAAGGGAAATTACCTTCTCTGACCATTACTGGATCAGGTAGTTCCGTGAAACTTGCATCTTTAATCTGCAAAATAATTTTTTGTATGCCAAAATCTTTCTAGCGCGCTGTTCTTGCATTCCATTGTATCAACTACAATCTAGCAATGAAAGTTTTCAAATCAAATAAACATTAATCCCATGTAAAAGCAGAAGCTTTTAAATTAAAACAACTTTATAACTTCTGGCAGTTATGTTAGTTTGAGAGTTTTTGTAAAAATGTGAAAATATAAATAATAATATATTTCATTACAACATGTAAATTGGTAATTCCAATTTATATTCCAATCACTCAATTTGAAAAAATTTTATTGTATGTGGATTTCTTTTCTTAAACAGAGCAAAATTGATTGCATGATGGTAATGTATTCTGTGACCTTACAGGAGATTGATCAGGACTAGGCAGTATTGTTGTGTTTCTCTTTTTTCTCTGTAAACAAAGAAATGCAAAGTACATGATTAAAAAGATTATTTCGTTGCATGAACACAAATACAATTTATCTCCACATATTAGGTCATCATGTAACACTCATAAAGACAACCTTATTTACCTTTGACTGTGATGGATTCAATGATGGGAGCTCAGCATCATCTTTCTATTTTAAAAAAGAAATGTAATACATGTACAAAAATATTTTCAGCTCAGCAAGATTATAAGAGTCAATTTCATCTCCACTTTTAGCAAAATGAAACCATTACAGAAAAAAGATGTGTTTGTAAAACAGTGATGCCCCCCTCCCCCCCCCTGATATGCAGAGTTGATTGCATGATGGTAATGTATTCTGTGACCTTACAGGAGATTGATCAGGACTAGGCAGTATTGTTGTGTTTCTCTTTTTTCTCTGTAAACAAAGAAATGCAAAGTACATGATTAAAAAGATTATTTCGTTGCATGAACACAAATACAATTTATCTCCACATATTAGGTCATCATGTAACACTCATAAAGACAACCTTATTTACCTTTGACTGTGATGGATTCAATGAAGGGAGCTCAGCATCATCTTTCTATTTTAAAAAAGAAATGTTATATAAACATATTTTCAGCTAAACGAGATTAGAAGAGTCAATTTCATCTCCACTTTTAGCAAAATGAAACCATTACAGAAAAAAGATGTGTTTGTTAAACACTGATAAGTGTGATGAAGCATGTAGTAGAGAAAAACATAAATAAAGCACAGTAATACATAATTGGTTTTCTTTTTAATTTTAATGTTAAACTTCGAATCCCTATGCTGGCCCTGCCCTACCCCATGATTTGAACAATAGGTAACAGTTTTTCTGGCCAAGTGGTTCATTAGAAGAATTTTTATTAACCCCACCCCTATTTTTAACTTTTATCTACCCTTTTAAGGAACTTGGTTTAAGGAAACCCAAGGAAGCTTTGTATCAAGTTTGAATATCCCAGTGGTTCTCAGAAGAAGTTGAAAATGTGAAAGTCTTACAGATGGACAGACAGACAAGTGATCAGAAAAGCTCACTTGAGATTTCAGTTTAGGTGAGCTAAAAATGGATAGATGTTTAACTAACTGAAAGGAATCTGAGATTTTTGTGGAAAATTTTTCAGAGGACTATGAAAAATGTCTTTTTAATTTAAAATTCCTATGAATTCACAATAAATTTTACCATTTGAGTAGGTGTACTGCATATAGGTGTGCTTGTCTTCTTTTTTTCCTATAATTGTTATACAAATATTTTCTTTAAATTCTAGTGCATCATAAATTTTATGTGCATAAAAGATAATTAATCAGAACATTTTGAAATACAAATATGAATAAAATATGTCCTGTGTGGGTTTTATTATTACATGCAGTAGGTAAGAACTCACTTGGAAATCATCCTCGCTGTCTGAGCTGTCAATGCAGTGAATTTTGGTGGACTTTTGCTTTGAATGAAAAATATAATCCTCGTACTATAGGTCTCCGAAATAAGAAAATTGAATTTAAATACAATAACATCATTAACAAATCTAAAATATGTCAATGTCATAGGAAAATCCATCACATTGAACTTTTGTTTATGTATTGTATTGTCACAGGGAAAGAAATGTACATTTCTTTTGCCTAATTACAAAGAACAACAAGATTTGTTTGTGAAATAGTCCATAATTTTTAGTTTCCGCTAATTTTCTTTGCAGCAGATGCATTCCTTGAAATTAAATTGTTTAGTATTATTGTTTGCTGTCAACTGTAAAGATTTACGTTACGTCACGATCGTTTTCGTCAGACGCATTCAGAGTTAGCAATTCACGTGATTGGTCATCTCATATTATCAATATTGACACGGAAATAGTCTGTTGCACGAGCAACCAATCAAGGAAAGGAAGAAAGTTCCAGTCGTGAAGCTTTCAGTAAGAAGGCGTGTACTATTTACCTTGAGCGCAGCTGTCAAATGGATCGCGTAGTAACGTAAAAATTTACAGTTTACTTCAAACGATAATATTTTGTTTCTCAAGCTAGATCTGATTTGTTTTGTCTTTAACGTAACGTCAAAATCATTTTTCCTAACCTCTCCATAGACTTATGTAATTATTGGAGTCTTGGACCTTAAATTTTTCTCAATACATATTCACAAAATTAAAGCATTGAAATTGTTTCACATGTTTGAATGTCATTTAATGAATGAACATTTATTTGAAATTTATGTAACTTTGCAGATATAACCGTCTAGAACTTGATCAGGAACATTCATATGCTACATGTTTATCTTAACGGTTCAACCTATTCGGGTACTTTCAGAATAGCCTATATTACATTTACATAATTGTTTTATCTAATATGTCACATACACTTCGATTATCTGTCATCAGTTAGCGTTACTTTACTGCATAATTATTTATTACAAAATTAACTGATCTTACAATCATTGGATCTTACAATCATGTAACCCACAAGAAAGAGAAAAACACAAGTACCTTGGTTTTGTTAATGTCTTATAATTCACATTTGGAAAATAGTTTAAATTAACTGTTAGATTGATTCGTAATTTAAAGATTGATGAAAAATTACGTTGTGTTTGGGCATTTTGGTTCAGCCAAATAACATTCCTCTTTTGTATTCACCTTCAGACATTCCTGATCTGCAAAAAAGCAGCAAAGGGTTTTACATTTAATTATTCATTACGAATTTAGATTTGAGAAAACTTTATTTTAGCCTAAACATTAGGTGGACACAACTTTTATTAAATTGATAAAGATAAAGGATAGAACGTGAGTTAAATAAACAAATATCAGTTATGACGGGAACGTGCTAAAACTGAAACAAGAATACAGGTATGTAACGAATAAGAGTGATCCATTTACCAGGAAATGGTGTTCTGTAAATGAACTGTATTTCGAATTCATGCTACAAATATGATACAAATATTCAATTTTATCAATTTTACTGTTATAATTTTTAAATCTAAGACAGCATATATTATATCTAGTTATAGGGCAAGATTTAGTGAATATATTATAAAAAAAAACTCTACTTATGAAGATTATCAGTGTAAATACGTTTAATTTGAAAGCCGTGCGACCCATCCATGGTAAATTCTCTTTACACGGCATGATTAATTCCCACGTTACTTGATGTACACATATGACGTCATCGGTGGTAGATTTTAATCAAAATGAAAGATACAGCATAAGAAAATAAGAACATTTTATTTTTGTTAATGTTTACACGTTCCTATTCATTTTCTAAAGTTAAATTAAATCTCCAAATACAGTACCCGCATCGTTATTCTTTACAATCGTGCGTGTATCCTATCGTATCGTGTTTTGCGTTTATCGTGTTTTGCGTTTTCTATCGTTTTTTTTTTCGTTTATCGTGTTTTGCGTTTATCGTGTAGATCGTTTATCAGGTTCTATCGTGTATCGTGTATATTCGGAAACCCTCGCTTTTTATCTTTACTACAGGAGGAAAATACCAAGATATTCCGAGGTTCTTTTTCGTTTTGTTAACTAAAATTAGAGTTGGGTATTGCGAGTGAAAACCATATTGCGATATATTGCAATATTTATGTTGAATATTGCAATATATTGCAATATATTGTAGATTAATTATCATAAATAAATTTGTGCAGAAAGTTTAAAATGCTGTCAATTTCAAAGACTATTTGAATTTATCTATAAATATTAAAGGGGGCGGGGGATAAGACATCAATCGCACACAAAATTATAATAACTTTTAATCGAAAACCAGGTAAAAAATTAAAACAAAATGTATTCATTTGATGTATTTTCAAATTGAAAAAAAAAAAGTTTATGCATAGTATATTCTTTATACGTTTTTTTTTTTTGGGGGGGGGGGTTGTTTTATTGAAATAGCATAAAATGTAACTAAATGATTAAAACAATACATAATATATATAAATTTTATGTGGTCACAGAATAAAATTAAAGCCAGAAAGAAATTGTGACCTATTTTTGGGCGTTTGGTGTTTTAGTCTGACCCAACCTAATTTCACATTATGACATACGATCAGGAACGGCATTGGCCTGTTTCTATTGTTTTAATATACATGCTACTGGTATAGCATGAAGGTGTTTAAAATGACATGAAACTTGTTAAAAAATAATAAAAAAAACACTGTATCAAGTGAAAACATGGATGGCCATTTACTTGTAATATGTATCTTGAACTTAACATTCATTGTCGATCGTGTAGATTCCATGAGATTTTGAGAACCACAGTACACATGGTAAACACCCTGTAGAAATGTTTTATGTATTTTCCTTTTTAATAATTTTATTTAAAAGTCTTTTTATTAATTATTTTATTTTAAAGTAAGAAATTTAAAATTGACAGTGAATGAAAAGCTTCCCGTCTCTCTCTCTTTTCTCTCTATCTGCCTCTGAAAGCTGACGAAGTATTTTTTTTTTACTAGATTGAAAAGGCCTGGGGAAGTTACAAGTATTTTTTCAGCAGTTTCTACAATACAGGAGTTTTTTATATATTTTATAAATATCGTGAAATACCGGTATCTGACTTTCATATCGCGATATATTATCGTGATGGATAATACCGCAATATACCGATATACCGGTAATATTGCACAGCCCTATGTGTTAGACGACCAAAGACAGCCAAAAATATGAATTCAATTCTTAAATATTACATAAACTGTGTTCCAGAAATGACGTCATCTCGCCTACTATGACGTCATAATGTAGCACTGATTTAGTCAAGGTAGATATTTTGTATGCTTCCTTATTCCCCCTGTGACAGTTAGCACTATAGTTAATTTTATTGTTCATATTTACAAATATTGTGATTCAAAGTTTCTATAGTTCTCATCACAGAAAATCAAGGAATAACTATCTTCTAATTTCGTATTTGCGACCGTTAATACTGATTTAACGGTCGCAAACTGAGTTTTACCGGCGACGCGTAAGCGGAGCCGGTAAAACGGATGTTTGCGACCGTTAAATCCGCATTAACGGTCGCAAATACCAAATTAGAAGTTTAGGTATTCCCATTATAATGTAATCAGTGCACTTTGTTTGTTGTTTACGTCTTATTTTGTTGAATTTTGTTACATGAAATTCGTCACGGAGCATTGTATTTTTGCGTCGCTCTATTATGACGTCACAATGAAAAAGCTTTCACGCTAGTTAATGATCGTTTTACTGCTTCAAACATCAGTGTATTAGCCAATTAAAGAGTGTTTTACAAAACAATTGCATTAGAATAAAAGTTTTAAAAAATAGCATACGTTGTACAATGTGTATGTAAATCATCAAAGTAAATTCAAGTGGTTGAAGTTTTCAATAAGCTTCCTAGATATAACTTAATGAAGCTTACTACAATTTTCAAAGTGTCAAAGTGATCACTATTGTGTAATTATAATAAACTAAAGTTACCGATAGAAAAGCCATCTTTAACTTTATCTACTATGGTATTTGCAAGGTTCTCAGACCAGAGATATAGAGTTTTTAATATGCTGGTAAAAGTATACGAACATTTATAAAGTTCGTTGCTTCTGTAGGTAATATTTGGACATCCTTCTGCGAATCCAGTACAGCTGTATGTATCCATAAAATGGGAATCCAATAAGATCCAACAATATCCTACAGATAAACAACGTTATTTTTAATACATATTAACTTGAAAAACAGATATTTTTTTCCAATAATACAGAATCTTTATTAATTGAAAATTAAGTCGATTGAAATTAATGTTTACAATTTAATGTTGTCTCAAACTTTAAGAATAATAACTTAATTTAGAAATAAAATGAAATAGATTGAATCTATCACAGAAGTTTTATTCTAAAAATAAAAATAAATGAATCACAAGAAAATATAGCATGAAATGCTAAAATACTTTAAACAACTGAGACAACACGACATTATTATAATTTTCTGTAAAGAAAAAGATAATTGAAAACAATTTAAATCACTCTCCTACAGACTCCATGTCAGAGCTGTTGCACTTAAAATAGCGATAATAAAAAAAACTGTGCTTATACGTGTAATATGAGACAAAATATCCAAAAATGTAAAGAAATAAAAGAAAATGTGATAATGTGTGGTTCAACTGTGATAAACTCTTCGAGTTCTCTAAGTTTGATATAGATATATGATAAAGAGTATACATAAACTAGTGTTTTAAGTTGCTTTAAGGAATAACTGTCTTATTTTTCGAATTCATTTAGTGATCAACCGAAGGCGTTTATGCATAAAATTATCACGCAAGCCAATCGATTGATCATGTTCATGATATTGAAAAATCTGACAGTTATTCCTTATATTTACATGCTTTCCGCCAATCCACGTGTTATAAGCCCTGCTTCTGTCTAGCTGTTTGTCCCGCCCTGCACGTGTTTTTTTTTTTGGAACCGCGCCAAAACATTGATGGGGAAATAAAGTTCATTTACAATTGGTAATTTTATCTCGGACAAAGACATTGGAAATGTAAATATTCAGTGATAAACGGGGAAAATTGCAATTCATTGCCGCTATATCTAAATTTCTAAAACTTTCGTGAGATCATTACATTTTATCAAAAGGACTAATATCGAAAAAAAGCAGTGTGCATGGGAAAAAACTGAAAACATAATATGACGTTACAACGAAATTACAAGACAACATTATGTCAAACGAATTACATTCATAGTTTAACCAATTCTCTAAACAATGGGTAAAGACTATGTGTTAAAATAAAATTGAAGAAATTAAATTAAAAATCAACATATTCAACATTAAAATCCTTCAGTAATTTTTCCTGATACATATAAAACCAGTAGTCTATATTTATTCTGCGTTCATGAATTTAAAAACGAATGCATTGCTCTGGAATTCAAATGACGAAATACTAGTATATTTGCACTGTAAACGACGTTTCGTCAAACGCTAATGGTCTGCGACGCAAAAATTAAGGGATGGGGGTGGTAGGAGTATTCAAAAATTGCCCAAAAGTCTACATTTAAATACGCTTTACATATGAGAACTTTTAAATATGTAAGTTAATATATATATTTGAAGCAAAAGCAATATTCCAATTTGATTTTTATAAAATGTGTATTTATAGATTCATAGCAAAGTTTATCGACCCCCGTCTGAAAGACGCGCGGGAACGTGATTTATTGAGAAAGGGGGAGGGGATAGTTTTCCGCTATTAAATCAAAACTAGTCGTACAAAAATTATACAAAAAATTATGAAGATTATTTTTAACACCAGCTACCTAAAGATTTTTTTTTACCAAAATTAAACGACAGGTTTTTACACAAAAAAAAATTGAATTTGAAAAATACACAATTTTCAAGGCTTAGACAATTCATAGTTTTTCAGTTTAAGGTCTTTAAAAATTGTTTCGAGGATATTTATATCAAAAAGATGACTATATTTTTGTGTTAAATGGTTAATGGAATAAGTCAATGAAATTTGACAGCTATATTTAACCTGGCTTTTTTGAAAATCAAGGTTTAAGTAGTTCATTGATTAAAAATTTTCTCTCCTTGTAAACAACTAAAGGGTGTAACTTTTGGAATTTCCTGTCCAAAAACCACTCGAGCGATTTTGTCCAAAATGGACATACATGGTGTAAATATAGTCATATACTAAATATACAAAAATAACAAAAAATTAAATGACAGGATTTTTTTGGGTAGGTGTGTTGTACACCCTTAATACTACAATTATTAACTCTTTCGATGGCGAATAAAAACATATTCACCATCAAAAGATTTTATAATTGTATAAAACCTAATATTCATTTGGATTTTTCGGAGAAAATAGCTCAATTTTTTTTTAAGGTGATTCGAAGCTGTCGCGAAAGTAATTGGAATTTTAAAAGATGGTTACCTTCGGATAAAGGACAAGTTCGTGGTTTAAGAATCATAAAAAAATATATATGTTAATGCGCTCGTTTCCATGGCAACAACCTCTGAATATGCCCTTGTTTGAAAATGTAAAATCTGTGAAAAAAATCCCACTGCCAGTAAAAAAAAAGTATTAAAAAACTTACAAATTATAATCAGAATTTATTTATTTTCATGTATAAAAAAGGGTAACAGATCAACATCATCTTGTCATTTTTATACATAGATAGTACATTCCAACAACATTCTACGACAGCCTGAATTTCCTCTGTCGTCTTAAAAATTGTCCATTTTTTCTTAACCTTGACAACAAAAATGGTTATGAAAACACATTAAAAGTAATTGGATATTTATTTTCTAAACTTTATTTTAAATAAGAGATATATAGCTAAGTAACAGAGGGGAGAAATTGGTATGGTCATGAGTCAAATGAAAAGATATTCTAATCCGAATTTCCTCTGGTCTATTTTTAAAAATTACCCCCAAATACATATTTTGGCAATTGAGGCTATACAACTTAATCAAAATTAATCAATGTCAATTTATTTAATAAAATATGTTAAAATCAAACTTTAAAAAATACTTTTGAAGAAAAAATAAAGTAAAATTTAAAGAATTTTAAAATTAACATTCAATTTCCGAATTTCCTATGCTTTTTTTTAGCCTTAAACTTTTGAACTGATTCTTGGCGAATTAAACATATAACACAATATCATGATACAAAATTTTTCATAATTTTTTAAAGATTTTACATGTATACCTAATTTAGGTGAAAAAAGTGCACATTACAAATCCGAATTTCCTCTGAATTTTTTGAAATAACAAATCAATAATGTAAAATGTTTGCCTTAATAAAAACAAGAAATCTGTGAGCCAATGCTCACTAGTAACACCCCCGCTGTGATGTAAATAAGCACTATCATGTTAATATACACAAGTTCAATTACAAACAGATGCACAGAAAAATATGAAGTTGACATCAGATTCATATCAAAATTAATCCCACCATATGGCATGCCTCAACAAAGAGTGTAATAAAATTTCAAGCACCCGCTATGAATAGCTAATGAGAAAACTGTGACGAAAATTTGTTATGTGTGAAAGACAGACGCACAGACAAACAGGAAGTTGATATCCGATTTGAAAAAATATGTAGCTAAACATATGGCATACGTTAGAGAAGATTGTGTTAAAATTTCAAGCATCTACAATGAGTAGTTGCAGAGAAAACTGCGACGAAAATTTGTTATGTATGAAACGGTCAGATGCACAGACAAACAGGAAGTTGACATAGGATTTGAGCCAAAATGTATCCCATCATATGGTATGCCTCAGAGAAGATTGTGTTAAAATTTCAAGCATCTACGATGAGTAGTTGCTGAGAAAACTACGACGAAAATTTGTTTTGTACGGACACACAGACAAATAGACACACAAGGGTAAAACAGTATAACCCCTCTCCTTCGGAGCGGGGGTATAAAAAAAATACATATCCATGGACTGATCTTTCCCTGCCATTTAAAATATTATATATCATATTGGAATGTGGAACATAGTGATATACCGGTACATATGGCCCAATTTCAGTAAATTAACAATAAGATCAACGGTTTACAATCCAAATTTCCTCTTTCTTAACACACACACACACACAAAAGAAATTTTTAAGATTTTTTTTAAAGATGTAGAAAAACGAATGACAAAAATGACAAAACACTTATAATATGTTTTACGGTGTGACCGTTGGGGCGAGCGCAGTTTGTTTACTATCATAAACCTACACATGTACTGTCTATCATTCAAGAAAAAGAAAGCAAAAAGAATAAAACAAAACAATAAAAAGAAATCATTTCCCAAGCATCGGGATCGAGATTCCAAACTTCTCAGAAGTTTCCGACAAAATCGGAAATACCCGAACCGCTGAAGTGACGAAAGTATGACGTAAGATAAAAAGTTCTGTTGACTTAGGACGCAAACGCTAGTTTTATGGAAAAGAGATTGCATGAAATCGTTCTTTTCAAGTTAGTTGTTGCTATGTTTTAGCCACCATGTTGCTATGCACTGCAACATGTTTTCCGAGTTTCACGGAAGCAACCGACATAACTTCGTCAAAATTCGTAAGTTTCCGGTGACGTCATTTGTATCATTTCCGAAGGGCAAGGTGAAGGCCGGTGTTGTGGCAAGGGGGTATTTTTTTGAACAAGGTAAGGCAAAATCATTTCGTTAAGATTTCGGTAAGAAACAATGTTCCTTTAATTTTTTTACTATTTTTGATTTATTCACGCAAAGGACATTGGGTAGTGCAGGAATTCTGGGAATGTTGCACAGAGAAATTTGGCTGACGTATGTACAGATTTCAATCCGAATTTCCTCTGTTCATACACGTTAGTCTATTGAGCTCGCTGCGCTCGCTATAACATTTTTGAAGAAGTTTTCCCATTATATCACAAATATATTATTTTTATCAATATGCCCTGAAAAACTGCTTAATCATGCCGGATATAGTTATGTTCCACCGGAAGCAGTTATATTGCCCTCCCAAACACATTTATGTTCCCTTGCGTGCAATCATTCTGCGTATTAAAATTAAAAAAAAGTCTGGACAACATCTGTGATTTGTTTATTTGAATTAAGATGAATTAAATAATTTAATTGAGGAGAAATAAATCCTTAAATACAACAAAGGTTATCAGCTTGTCAGTATACTGAAAACTCTCTGCCATGAAACAGGATGTTTCTGAATACGAGGGACGTTCAATAAATAATGTCATTAGCTCGATGACATACAACATAGTAGTCATATGACATAAAGCTTGACTTTCTCTCATTATTGAATCTTTAATGAATTTATAACAGTTTATGTGACCACTTTTCATCACATAGTTTTATCGTGAGAAGCTGGGAAACAAGGGCTATTCGAGACACTGCACTATAAATGAATGGTAAAGAATCATTAAACTAGAGTGAAAAAAAAGCTACATTAAATCTGCTGTAAAACTTGTTAAAACTCCCAAACAAATATTCACTGAAATATGTGACATTTACAGCAACCGATGCCTGTTTTATAGACAAATGAGCAGGTGAATTTCAATGATAAAAAATTATATAATGGGCATAAAAAATGGGAACCCTCCTTGCCAACAAAAATTATAACAACTTATGTACTGTATGGCAAATTTAAACAAATAATATTTGATGTTGTATGATTGACTTTAAGACACATAGCAAATTTGATAGACAGCATATCGGGAGTAGTCAACACTGTTTTTAGGAAACGTTTGACAGTAATTAAGCTTGGTACTCTAAGGTCACCGTGTATTTTTAAAAATGAGTGAAAACGACAGCGTGTACAAAAGTCTTAACAATTATTTTAAAATATCAGTAATTGTAGTAATCCACGTTTGTTTTATATTCCAACAGATATTGGAACATGAATCTATTGCTTAAAACCATTAAAACAAAATTTAACATAAGATGTACTTGATAAAAACGGCGATGGTCTGTCAAGAGCAAAGGTTTGCAAGAGCACAAAGACAGATTTATAAGCAGTTTTCTTAAATATTAGTGGTATTGTTGATCAAATTCGTATTCGGGGAGACAATTTAATATCTGGAGGTGTCTAGAAAGCAGTTTTTTTTTGCAAAGAATTCGAAAGGTTTATCAGAGAAAGGACCCAGAATCAGGAATCCACTAGTTCAATTTCTTCATGACAGCGTTCAAACCCGAATGCCCTAAGGAGTAAAGGGGTTTTCGGGATAAACAGAAAGTTAATGTTTTTTTCACATTAACAATATTTGCCAGATCTTTGCCCTTTTGACTTGTTTCTAATTCCAAACTTGAAAAAACACCTTTCAGAAGGAAAAAACAAGTCCAGGAAATCATTGGATCTGCTATTTTCCAGTATACTAAGGGTCATACCCAAAAATGAGTTCTAAAAACAATCAGAAATTGGATAAAAAATGTTACTGACATGTGTTTGAATTAAAAGAGATTAATAAGTAAAATCATGAAGACTAAATCTTTGAAAAGCGTCGTTTGTTTCTTTCTGAGCCCCAATGACATTATTTATTGAACGCCCCTCGTAATACTCAACGTACATGTTTACATAGGCCTAGTGTTCAATAAATATGTTCGATGATCGATTAGGGTTCAATGATTAAAAATGTTATATAGTATACCATATATTACATGGCTTAATTCTCGGGCATTAATACCAGAATATTTGCCCCTCTGTGACAGGAAAGCCCTGGAGTGTTATGTCGCCCTTTGCCTTCGGCATAACACTCCAGGGCTTTCCTGTCACCGAGGGGCAAATATTCTGGTATGCTGCCCTTGAAGCCATGTAATATATGTATAATGTATCATTGCTTAACTTTTGCAAGCTTAAACTTAGAAATAACATAAATGGGCACACTGAATGGAAAAAAGACGGATTTAGTATGACAAAAGTTCCTCAAGAAGTATATCATTTACATGTATGCAGCAGGTCTGTTCATACAGAAGTGCTTTAAATCTTATGGGAGGTTCTGACACAAATGCTTCTTCCCTTTATTTTTCCAACTTCAGTCTTGACTTTCTTTGGCTTTCAATTGGTAAAATTCTGATGAACAATTAGGTCTTTCATTGCAGCTTGAGTGTATGTTGACATGTGGCCAAATTCAACACAGATGTGATTCTTAGCCTGAAAAAAAAACTTTACTTCAGTTACAGCCTTATTGACAGCTGGACACAGAATATACATGTAATAATGTAACATCTATTATAAAATTACCTATTACTGACTGATTATTGATATTCTAACCCGCACGAAACAGTCCGGGCGGCTTAGACACGGCTCAGGCACGGATTCCGTCTCCAGAAACCTGTGCTTTAGCATTCCGTGCTCCTATGTAAAGTATGTATGGAAAGCCGTGCCTAAAAGTGGTCGAGGCACGGACACGGCACGGGATATTGGCCGAATTATTTAAATGAGAACACACGGTTTTACAAAACCCGTGTCAGAAAGCCGTGCTAGTTTCCATATATAGACTCACGGATTCTGTAAACCCGTGTCTGAAACCCGTGTCCTTTTCCATATATGGAGACACGGTTTTTTGGAAACCTGTGTCAAAAAAGCCGTGCCGTATACCATATAAGGAGTCACAGGATCTGTGCATTTGTTTAGATCTAGATCATGGTCTTTAGAGAATCTCCTGATGTACATTTGGATGCCAAAATGGTGACTGATACCAAACTAACTTCACATTGCTTTACATTAATGCTTAGTTTTAGAATTTCAAAAGTTACAAATCTTTTTAATGTGTCCATTTACTTTCTGTTAAGATTAACTTTATCAGTTACAATCCATGCTAGTTTTAATTAAGATTTTAATGATAATGTACAATATTCAGTTGTAATTTAATCTAGTAGCTAAGTTTGCACAATCTAAGAAAGAATTTAGTTTAAATAAAACTTTCACTGCTAAGCACAGTGATGTCACATAAAATATATACTATATAAAGGATTAGTGAAAGTCCAACTAAAGTCACTCAAATAAACCTAATATAACTAGTTCATCATGTTCATTGTCAACAACACAATACAAGAAGATCATGAAAATTGAAAAATTGACTTATTTATTCTAGATTACACTTACTGCATTTAGTTCCAAAGTGAAGAAATTATCCCAGACTGACATAAATACAATTCCAACTGACATCTATTAGTTAAATATCCTTTAAAAAGAGCAAAAAGACACATTGACTTAGCTCATGACCATGAATCCCTCCAATTTAATATTCAAATAAAGGAAGTTATGATTGAGCATGCTCAGTAAAAAGCCGTGAGATTTAAATAAATAGTTTGAAGCAAAACCAGCCTGAGTTAAAAACCGTCTCCCTGGGACACGGATTCCGTGCCTCCACACAAGTTTCTGTGAGTGAGGATTCCTCACTTTCAGACACGGAAGCCGTGTCCGTGTCTTGGACAAGCAGAACCCGTGCGGTTTTTAAAAAACCCGTGCGAATCCCGTGTCTTAGCCGTGCCCAAGCCGTGCCTATTTCGCCTCGAACGGGAATAGCAATAGTTCCAATGAAATAAAAATAGCATGATACCTACAAAATAATATTTACATTCCACATGTGTTTAGCCTATGAAATGCATAGAATTTGGGGCATATAATACAACATTACATTGACAGTAAGCTCAAAAGGTAAATATTAAGTTTTTTTTTCAATTTTATGTTTATGTCACAGACCTTGAATACCATGCAACATCATATGGGAAAATCTCAAATTGAAGAGTTTAACATTCATTTTCTAGATTTGGCATGGCTCTTTCATTAATTTAAACTTACCCCAAAGATAATACAAAGGATTCTGAATTACATTAATTTTGCAGATGATACAGGGAGTTAAAATGTGCTGTATTCTTTGAATTCGCCCAACCGAGGACAGGGTGAAAGGGGCAACAATAAAAGGGGGCGAAATTTCCCGGTATACAGTAATATGTACATTTTATCAGTCTGACATGTACTATAATTATTTTAGCAAGTTTACTTTTTAAAATTTGAAAAGTTTATCAATTTAGAATTATAATTTTTTCATACCCAGCCAGATGGTTTCAGCATCACAGTTGTTTTTTAGCACATCTGGATCAAAGGGATTATACTGCAAAGTGTTGACTCAGGTTGTACATTTTGACTGCTTACTGATGGAAACTCCAGTCTGTTCCTTTGGCGGTTATTAAAAACCTATCGAGATAACATATCATCTGACAGTATTTAACTTACATGTGAACTTTATAGACTTCTCTGAAAATTTTATAGACCTTCCTTTTAATAAATTACTTCCGAACAAAAACTAATAAATGAATGTGTGCTGTAAACAAGAACTTAGAATCAGTGTCCTCAATAATGTTTCATTAAATGAGAATACATATAATATAATAATTGGTCAACTTTTTTTTTTTTTACAAAAAGACTTTTTATCATGTTATTTTACACTGTGTGTCATTACATCAAGTTTGTAGGAAAGACATCAACTCATATTCTAAAAATTATAAACATGGGAGCTATTTTTTCAGTCACTCAATGACAAAAGTAGATAGCCGACATATAGGGGGGGGGGGGGGGGTAAAAAATGGGGCCTATTGTTTGGGAGAACAATAGCTGACCTTTCCGTGACCTGTAGCTGACCTCTTTCTTGACCTGATAGTGACCTTAGTAAACAATAGAGCGTTATCCTTCTATTGAAAGTCGAGAGGAGGAAATAGCAATGGGGTAAAGGTGAACGATCTGATCGTGACCTGGAGACATACTTCCTTGACCGTGACGACAATAAATGGAAAGAAGGTTGAGAGCGTTAAGATAACGTGCGTTTTTAATGATCTGTTTGTGATCTGGATGCATCTACGTGTCAATAAGGGGGGGGGGGAAGGGTGAGAACAATAAGAAAACGTATGTATAGTTGAAAAAAGATACAAGAACTCTAACCACGGAATATTTAATCGTGGGTTAGCGATATCGTTAAAGTGCATCAGTTACGGCAAAACTTGGTGAATGGAACAGGGTTTCTCCCTGGTGTACGGTCTATTGTATGAGACGACAACGTATACGGTGAGAGGCTGAGGACAATAAAGATCTGATGTATGTATTGTATGAGAGGACAACAGGGTGTTATTAAAGGTTCTTAATCATTTGATGTCCACAGGAGTAACATGCATGGAAGAGCAGATCATTAAAATCAGTAACGGGAGAATATATTTACGGAATGGGCATTCCTTCATATAAATCAAAAAGTGGTTTATTCATAAAGAATTGAACATTTAGAGCATCGTTCAGATGTGTAAGAATATCTACTGTCGCGTAAACGGCATACAAAGAGCGGATTAAAATTTTGAAGTACATGTAGGTTTAATGATGCCCTGATTCGGTTCATGGATTACTGTCATAGTTTTCATGCAAGAGGAATCTTCTTACACTGTAAAGCTAGTGATGAGAAAGTGGAGCCAGGACATGAATGATCTCTTAGTGACCTGGAGAGGACATTTTTCATGCCCTAGAATATCTATCTCCTGCAATAAAGCAGAGGCATGGGGAAACGTTTTGTGACCAGGAAAGGATATCTCCCTGTCCTATGGTACGGGCAAGGTGTGAGGCAGTAATTTAGTCAAGGGATTAAAATGTCCAGAGTTTACGCAACGATAAATTCTTCATAAAGTTAGTTTATGGACAGTTGATACCAAAAACAAAAAAATGCATGGTTTGATATATATATTATTATGTGTGTTTTGAAATAAATAGTAAAGTATTTTTATCAAATTTCTAAAATATTAGGAATTTGTTTACCTTCTTCCATACAACTTTTCATCACAGAAAATACCGTTTTTGTAAAAAATTGAATGAAGATATTAAAATATGTGCGATCAAATTTATCATTATAAACATGATTTAAATTGTAATTTTCATGGTTTGTAAAGAAAAACAACAAACAAAATATATCATCTGTCCTTATTCCCACACGAAGATGGGAATAAGCATCTGAAGTAAAAGGGGGTTGGGTGATCTGGGGTCATGGTGTGCAATAAATGAAAAAGTTGCCTTACTATCGTGTGACCTATCAAATTGAAGGTCTCGACGAGTAGAGTTAAGCCCGGGGGTGATCTGGGGTCACTGGGTGCAAAATGAAAATAAGTAGCTTTAAAGTAATCGTATGACCTATCAAATGAATGTGTGGATGAGTAGAATTCAATCCCGGGAGGCATTAAGTCCCAAAATCAAAACTGGTTATGCAGGGTATCGCGTAAAGTATCAAACTGATATTGTCAATGAAAAGAGGTCTATGCACACGACAGCCATTTGATGAAGTGATATGCTCCGCAAATATAATGTATCCGGGGGGAGGGCACGGCGCGGCAATCTTCTTCGCCGGTGACCTCGGATTACCGGGAACCTAGGATAACGGGAATTGGAATTCCGGAAAACCGTTTTCGCGGAATCTGTAGAGTTCCGGAATCCAGAACTTCCGGAAATAGATTGATGAATATCAAATTTCGCTTTCATTCGAAATTTTGTATAAAAGAGAGTAAGGTCAAGTAAACAATTCATTTCTTACTGGACCGCCATGCACTCCACATCGTGTACTGTTTGTCAGTGCACATTTTCACGGCAAGATAATTTGAGGAGGCACGAACAACTTGCTCATGGAAGAAGCCACCCCTACCCTACAACAAGTGTATCCTATTTCAAGCAAGACGAAACTCCTCATCCTCCTCCTCCTCCTCAGGATTTCACTCCTCCTCCTCCTCCTCCTCATTTCACTCCTCCTCCTCCTCCTCCTCCTCCTCCTCAGTGTTTTCAGCTTCCTCCCCCTCCTCCTCAGTGTCTTCAACCTACTCTTCCTCCTCAGTGTATCACATCTGCTCCTCAGATTGTCACTATTCCTCCTCCTCCGCTTCATCAAAGATCAATGGCAAATGATGAGCATTTTAAGTTTGTTCATCCCTTTACAATGATTGTTGCTGGACCAACGATGTGTGGAAAATCAACCTGGATAAAGGAAATGCTGCTCAACATTGAAGGAGTCATTTGTCCTGTACCTGGAAGAATAGTAAGGATTTATAAGCGATGGCAGCCCCTTTACGATGAATTGAAGTGTCGGATTCCATGTATAACATTTATTCAAGGCATCACAGAAGATATAAAATCGGATACATTCATTGACCCTTGTGACAAAACATTGTTAATTATTGACGACATGATGAAGGATGCAACCCAGGATCGAGAAATTTGTGAAATTTTCACCGAAGGTGCACACCATCGTAACCTCAGTGTGATCTGCATCATGCAGAACTTATTCAACAAAGGGAAAGAAAATCGAACAATGAGTTTGAACACTCAATACATAGTTCTATTTAAAAATCCCAGAGATCGACAGCAAATTGCAACCCTGGCAAGGCAGATGTATCCTGGCAATGCCAAGAAGTTACTTGATGCATATGAACAAGCAGTTGCCATACCATATGGATCATTAATTGTGGATTTGAAGCAATCCACTCCTGAATGGAGTCGATTTCAGACGAATGTATTTGAACCATATATAAGAGAACAACTGAACATGAATTGTCATTTGATTCAAAACCATCAAGGAGTGAGAACGTCTCCAGAGCAAATCTGTGACGAGACTGTTCCAAGCATCAAGGATCAAATACAAAAGATGGCCTACCAGAAATCCACCCAGGAGTATCCTCAATTCAATCCTGCGACAGCAAAGGAACCCACTGTATCTCAAGACCTACGTTCCTTTCCATGGCCTTCAAAACATAATACTGAAAATGTATACCCGACATGTGTTGAATGCGGAACTATGTTTGCCAGTTCCTATGATTTGCAACGACACATCAAAAACGGCTGTCCAATGGAAGAAGACACAGATGACAATGATATAATGACTGACTCCAGTGAAGAAGATGACGATGAAGGTTTTACTCCTTTAATTGACGAAGTGTGGGATGAAAACCAATCACAGTTTGACAAAAAAATCCATCAGTTGATGGAGGAAAATTCAAAACTTTCTGTCACTGAAGCAAGGGAAGACGTTAGCGAGATGATGCTACCGAAAGACAGAGCTTTGTTGCTGAAGAAATATAAAAGAATCCTGGTCATTTGGGCAAAATTGAATAAAAGCAAACTACATCGAGAAATCAAGAAGGCAGTATCAAACCTCATGGAAGAACAGGATATGGATCTAGATAAGGCCATTTCCCGCGTTCTCAAGAAATATAAACCGGAGTTCGAGGAGTTACTAGAAGCTGACGGTGATTATTACAAGGATGAGACAGATGAAGAATCGGTCGATGAACCTGTAGACTCAGAGTGATGATAAGAATCTTGATTTTTTCATCAGAAAAAACTTGGTAATGGGAATGTATATCAAATGGACAAATATCTTCTGTACATGGACATTTTCCCTTTGACAATGATGTAGAATATCTAAGAATTGTATAGAAAAATAATCTAGTGAGTTATATACATGAATCTGCAATAAATATGTTACTGACACTGGATTGAGTTTCTTGTTATCTATGATGCGTGTATAATTTGTCAGACCTCAAATCTTTTTCAAAATGAAATTACATTTCCGGAAGTTCTGGATTCCGGAACTCTACAGATTGCGAGAAAACGGTTTTCCGGAATTCCAGTTCCCGTTATCCTAGGTTCCCGGTAATTCGAGGTCACCGGCGAAGAAGATTGCCGCGCCGCGCCCTCCCCCCGGATACATTATATTTGCGGAGCATATCACTTCATCAAATGGCTGTCGTGTGCATAGACCTCTTTTCATTGACAATATCAGTTTGATACTTTACGCGATACCCTGCATAACCAGTTTTGATTTTGGGACTTAATGCCTCCCGGGATTGAATTCTACTCATCCACAAATTCATTTGATAGGTCATACGATTACTTTAAAGCTACTTATTTTCATTTTGCACCCAGTGACCCCAGATCACCCCCGGGCTTAACTCTACTCGTCGAGACCTTCAATTTGATAGGTCACACGATAGTAAGGCAACTTTTTCATTTATTGCACACCATGACCCCAGATCACCCAACCCCCTTTTACTTCAGATGCTTATTCCCATCTTCGTGTGGGAATAAGGACAGATGATATATTTTGTTTGTTGTTTTTCTTTACAAACCATGAAAATTACAATTTAAATCATGTTTATAATGATAATTTTGATCGCACATATTTTAATATCTTCATTCAATTTTTTACAAAAACGGTATTTTCTGTGATGAAAAGTTGTATGGAAGAAGGTAAACAAATTCCTAATATTTTAGAAATTTGATAAAAATACTTTACTATTTATTTCAAAACACACATAATAATATATATATCAAACCATGCATTTTTTTGTTTTTGGTATCAACTGTCCATAAACTAACTTTATGAAGAATTTATCGTTGCGTAAACTCTGGACATTTTAATCCCTTGACTAAATTACTGCCTCACACCTTGCCCGTACCATAGGACAGGGAGATATCCTTTCCTGGTCACAAAACGTTTCCCCATGCCTCTGCTTTATTGCAGGAGATAGATATTCTAGGGCATGAAAAATGTCCTCTCCAGGTCACTAAGAGATCATTCATGTCCTGGCTCCACTTTCTCATCACTAGCTTTACAGTGTAAGAAGATTCCTCTTGCATGAAAACTATGACAGTAATCCATGAACCGAATCAGGGCATCATTAAACCTACATGTACTTCAAAATTTTAATCCGCTCTTTGTATGCCGTTTACGCGACAGTAGATATTCTTACACATCTGAACGATGCTCTAAATGTTCAATTCTTTATGAATAAACCACTTTTTGATTTATATGAAGGAATGCCCATTCCGTAAATATATTCTCCCGTTACTGATTTTAATGATCTGCTCTTCCATGCATGTTACTCCTGTGGACATCAAATGATTAAGAACCTTTAATAACACCCTGTTGTCCTCTCATACAATACATACATCAGATCTTTATTGTCCTCAGCCTCTCACCGTATACGTTGTCGTCTCATACAATAGACCGTACACCAGGGAGAAACCCTGTTCCATTCACCAAGTTTTGCCGTAACTGATGCACTTTAACGATATCGCTAACCCACGATTAAATATTCCGTGGTTAGAGTTCTTGTATCTTTTTTCAACTATACATACGTTTTCTTATTGTTCTCACCCGTCCCCCCCCCCCTTATTGACACGTAGATGCATCCAGATCACAAACAAATCATTAAAAACGCATGTTATCTAAACGCTTTCAACCTTCTTTCCATTTATTGTCGTCACGGTCAAGGAAGTATGTCTCCAGGTCACGATCAGATCGTTCACCTTTACCCCATTGCTATTTCCTCCTCTCGACTTTCAATAGAAGGATTACGCTCTATTGTTTACTAAGGTCACTATCAGGTCAAGAAAGAGGTCAGCTACAGGTCACGGAAAGGTCAGCTATTGTTCTCCCAAACAATAGGCCCCATTGTTTACCCCCCCTATATGTCGGCTATACTACTGACAAATCATGAAATGTGCATGATTTTTAGCTCACCTGAGCCGAAGGCTCAAGTGAGCTTTTCTGATCAAAATTTGTCCGTCGTCTGTCGTTGTCGTTGTCGTCGTCGTTGTCGTCGTCGTCGTAAACTTTTCACATTTTCATCTTCTTCTCAAGAACCACTGGGCCAATTTCAACCAAACTTGGCACAAAGTATCCTTGGGTGAAGGGGATTCAAGTTTGTTCAAATGAAGGGCAACGCCTTTTTCCAAGGGGAGATAATCATGAATTTGTTAAAAATTAATGGCATTTTTAAAAAATCTTCTTCTCCAGAACCGCTGGGCCAGGAATTATGAAACTCATGTGGTAGCATCCTCAGGTAGTGTAGATTCAAGTTTGTTCAAATCATGACCCCTGGGGCAAGGGTGGGGCCAAAATGGCCGACCCAAGTTTAACATAGGAATATATAAGAAAAATCTTTAAAAATCTTCTTCTCCAGAACCACTGGGCCAGGAAAGATGTAACTCATGTGGAATCATCCTCAAGTAGTGTAGATTCAAGTTTGTTCAAATCATGACCCCCGGGGCAAGGGTAGGGCCAAAATGGCCGACCCAAGTTTAACATAGGAATATATAGGGAAAATCTTTAAAAATCTTCTTCTCCAGAACCACTGGGCCAGGAAAGATGAAACTCATGTGCAGATTCAAGTTTGTTCAAATCATGACCCCATGGGCAAGGGTGGGGCCAAATGGCCGACCCAAATTTTACATAGGGATATATAGGGAAACCTTTAAAATCTTCTTTTCAAGTACTTCAAAGCTATAATTAGTGATATTTATATGGAATCATCCTCAAGTAGTGTAGATTCTAGTTTGTTCAAATGATGATTGCCTGGAGGGGGGGGGGAGTAGATTCAAGCCCAATGTGCTCAGGTGAGCGCTGTGGCCCCTGGGCCTCTTGTTTTGCTATTTTCTCATTGGTGTGAATAAATTCAATATTGTTTTAAAGGACAAGTACAAAATATCTGTATTAAAAGAATAAGAACTCACTGCATCAATGGTGTCATTGACTCATTCTATGCACTGCCCATAGCAGCCACGTGAATTTTTTTCCCTTCATTTTTGAGATGAGACAAAAGCGTACATACATCAGATTATACTTCTGCATTTACTCGATGAGCTAACCTTTCATCATGATGTAAATAAATTGTGTCTTCTTAGAAGACATTACGTACTAAACATAGTGAACAAGAAGGCTCGGTCGGAACGTTTTGTTGTATTTACCTGAAAATCATGGGGTACATCTTGATCTTGTCGTGCAGGTTGTACCTAGAAATAAAATCGCCTGAACGGTTGTTGCAAGGTACCAAACAGCATAGATCGGTACACTTCTTGGATACAAAAACAACCGAATAAAGTGTTGTTTTTTTTCTTTGAAAATAAAAGAGACTGTCTCTCTGTCAACATGGTGGCGGAAAACGGCCAGGGAATTGTCGTAAATTCCTAATGTCGGAAGAAGATTCGAAAAGCCAATTTTGAATGATTTTATCAGAATTCTATTGAAAATTACTTTATTTGTCTATCAAATCGTTGCTTGTGGTCCATTAAATTACTCTTATAAATAAATGAGACGTAATAACGAGTATCACGACATCAGCAGTGATCAGCCTATTTTCAGCAGTACGAGTTGCGCGGTAGATTTGATTTCGTCACGTTCGAATCACCTTAAGGTAGAACCTATGTCGAAGAAGTCTTTGTCACAAGATTTTCAAACTTTTCATAATGATAAATTAACACTTGCTTATCAATCAGTTGAAAGTACATGATATGTTTCCTTGTTATTTAATGTAGTACAGCCAGTCAAACATGGGATGATAATTACATATTGCGAGTTCAAAATTTCAGTCATTTTAGGGGTACTTGTCATGCAAAGTAGGCAAAAAAATCACAAAATTACTTCTTAAAACATCTTTGTTTTTATTGATTATCAATTGAACAGTATTAAACAATATTTCCTGAGAATAAATTATTTTTTATTCAATTGACATAAAAGATCAGTCCACATTTTAAAAACCATAGGCAAATGAACTCTGTTAATTTTCAGTCAAATATCCACCCTACATTTGTAAATATTTTTCAGAAGTCTTTGTCACAATGTTTTCAATCTTTAATATGATAAAGAACATACCCAAATGATTACAAAAAGTGATTAAAATATATACCTTTCCCTTCTAACTAATGAGAGAACGGTTATTTACAGATGCTAAAATTCTTGACCTTTTTGCACTTACATGGGATTTATTAAATGACTGTTTGGGGTTACTTAAAGAATTAAAATGTTTATCAAAAATTGTACTTTAAATTTAAAAAGATTATATTTAATAGAAAAATTGTAATCAAACTCCAAGAATATGAATAAGTAACAAATAATTATGAAAAGGAATGCACATCATTTCATTATAGTTATCACAAAATGTATACACAATCTACAACACATACATCTTTGACTTAGACACATTTCATCAAGATATTACACTATTTAGTTGGCAACTGAAGATTTTTTTTAAGGATTTTTGCATTCCTTCAAAATAGTTACATACCATTTACATTATTACAGTAAGTTGTGTACATTGTCATTTCATTACACGAGATAGTCTTGGATTTGTCAATTTAATTAAGGTCAAGATCTAGTAAATGAAAGGAATCTACATGTTTCTCTAATTCAAGAAATATATTGTCATAGCATTATAACCAAAAAATATACAAACTGAGTTAAGATTATTTTGGCATGATTTTAAATTGAATTCTGTGAATTAAAAATGCATTATTTTCTACCATTTCTATTGAAGCTGTAAAGTACGGGAAAAGTGACATTGAATTAATTATGACGTCATAATGGATCTAGCACAGGGTAAACACACTCACTAGTTATGATGTCATACGACGTAGGTTCTACGTTAAGTAAAAAATTTTATGTTTAAATACCCAGATGTACAGGAATCAACAGCGAGGGTTAATAATATCATTAGCGTCGAGCATTTGACTTAAAATAAAAAGTACGATATATTTCTTTTACAAAGTATAACTTTTTCGTAGATTTTATTGATCACTGTTTGTTATTTTGCCATTTTTTTAAATATATAATATTTTTGTATTTATTTTTATCTGAATGAAACACAGATGGAGATAACAAACCATATTATTTAAATATAATTCAAGATCAACAGTTCTTAAAGCAATACAAAATTTGAGCAGAGCAAACACGGAATTTAATTTCATAATGTAGAACTTGTTCGTACCGTCAGCTGTAAAAACCATTATAAAAAAGTATAATACAATGATAATGGCTTATTATGTTTTATGTGAGGAAGCCAAATAATGTTCTGAGTTGAACAAATTAAATAGAATTTTGTTCTTCATCAACTGTTAACTATCCCCTCCTGAAAAAAAGAGTTATATTCTTTCATATGAAAAAAAATTTAATTCCATGAATTCTCTCTACCAAATAGTCGTTTGTCTTAATTCCCGTCAAAAAGAGCAATATATGGTAAGTGTCTCAAATGGCCCCCTAAAATGAATATCTTACTTTTAATTTAGTTTTAACTTTACTTTGCACGGCTATACATGCGACCTTTATTGTTAATTTTCAATTTGATCAAAATGCCGTTAGAATAGAAATATGACATCACAAAGTTCATGTTTTCCCGCAATGTTAGCATTTTTTGTATAAAACTGCTCATTTTCAAGCAGTTTTTCTTCCAAAAAATATTAAGCGCAAACTAGAACATACTTTAATTTTTTACCAAAGATGTATCTATTTAATACTAATTTCTGACAGAAAAATTATGCATGTTCTACAATGCGCTCTATGTTTCCCATAAGAAAAAACATCAAGAAAAAGACATTTTTGGCATTTTTTGTTAGATATAAATCTTATAAAAAAGTGTTATTTCCGTCCTCATTTACAGCCAATGAAAGCATATAAATGTGAAAAATATATCGGAAATATATCTTATATAATCTCTTCTACAACAAATATCAATTAAACATATCTGAATGTCATTCTAAAATGCTGATTTTTAGGGGGCCAAAATTGGCTCTTAACATATATAGTCCGTTTTGGCAAAGTTGTTCTGTTGGATAATAAGAAATTGTGAAAGACAACGACATCGAAAGACAACATGCAAATTTGAATCTCGTACAAACCTGTTTTAACATGTATAGATCTGTCCTGTTACAATACGTGAAGAAAAATCATATTTACCGCCTAAAATTAGAAGTCCATTATAATACTGAGTAAAATTACTGCATTTCTCAGCTTAAAAAAAAATCATAACCAGAAACATATATTGTTAATTATACAAATCGTTACTTTAAAAAAAAAAATAATATGGACATTGAAGATTAAGGCGTCGGTTTGACCCCCACCCCCCACCGCGCAATAGTATCAATGACTTTGTATCCTACTGTTCGACGTGGAGACCGGTACTTTGGATGAAACTGTATATACCGACATCCCGTGTCGCAGTAGGCAGTGGGTGCTTGCACGGAAATTCCCATTTGCTCAATGGCCGTATGTGCTGAGTATAGAACAAAATTTGCATTGGCAAGTGGTGGGTCTCCGTACGAGTGTAACATTCTAGAGAGGGACGTTAAACAACAAACAAACTAACAAATTGTTGACATTCGATGAGACAATACCTTTCTCAATCGATGTAGCTGGTTGATCATAACAGAATTGCAGTAACGCTGATCGTTGTTCATTAGGAGTACACTGGTACCTATCTGGATTGGTACAGTTTAAGTCACGTGATGCCTTCTCCCATGACGATTTGTTGGTTGGGCAAATATCAACCTCTTTTACTTGAAGATTCTTGCCTTCATTCTGTTAATAAGATCATTCATTTTATCAAAAATCAAAATAACGACACAAGAGCTACAAATAAGGCGAAATAAACATGAACAGACGTGAGAGAAAAGTAGAAGGTACTTGTCTCAATTTTCAATAAAATATATTAAGAAAATTGGTAAGTATTAGGGAAAACAAACCCACTCTGAGACAATCAGGGGAGAGAGTTTTTTTTCTAAAATTACCTGGTTCACTGAATTCCTTTCACATTATATGAATTTGAAAATAGTTTTGGAGAAGAATTTGGTCAGGTGAAATACACATGTTAGGCTCCGATTGACATGCAGTAGAGTAAAATGAAATGCATTTCTATTTTAGCATCCATTTCATGATTTCAAAAAAATGTGTCCTCCTCCAACTGCCTGGCAAAGAAGGATTATAACTTCTTAAACTGCAGATAACCTTTTTTTTGTTATTTCAGAATGTTTACAAACCGTCAGCAATTGTTTTAATTTTAATCTAAAAACTTTATTTTAAAAACAATATTTTAATCAATAGCATTCTCTGCTTTAAATATTTGGACTTTTGAAAATATATAATATTAAACACATTATTGTACAATTGATACGGTACTTTCAAGAATACTGCAATTGGGGAAAATGTGAAATTTTCAAATCTATTTTAGTATAATATATAGGGCTGTGCAATATTACCGGTATATCGGTATATTGCGGTATTATCCATCACGATAATATATCGCGATATGAAAGTCAGATACCGGTATTTCACGATATTTATAAAATATATAAAAAACTCCTGTATTGTAGAAACTGCTGAAATAATACTTGTAACTTCCCCAGGCCTTTTCAATCTAGTAAAAAAAAAATACTTCGTCAGCTTTCAGAGGCAGATAGAGAGAAAAGAGAGAGAGACGGGAAGCTTTTCATTCACTGTCAATTTTAAATTTCTTACTTTAAAATAAAATAATTAATAAAAAGACTTTTAAATAAAATTATTAAAAAGGAAAATACATAAAACATTTCTACAGGGTGTTTACCATGTGTACTGTGGTTCTCAAAATCTCATGGAATCTACACGATCGACAATGAATGTTAAGTTCAAGATACATATTACAAGTAAATGGCCATCCATGTTTTCACTTGATACAGTGTTTTTTTTATTATTTTTTAACAAGTTTCATGTCATTTTAAACACCTTCATGCTATACCAGTAGCATGTATATTAAAACAATAGAAACAGGCCAATGCCGTTCCTGATCGTATGTCATAATGTGAAATTAGGTCGGGTCAGACTAAAACACCAAACGCCCAAAAATAGGTCACAATTTCTTTCTGGCTTTAATTTTATTCTGTGACCACATAAAATTTATATATATTATGTATTGTTTTAATCATTTAGTTACATTTTATGCTATTTCAATAAAACAACCCCCCCCCAAAAAAAAAAAAACGTATAAAGAATATACTATGCATAAACTTTTTTTTTTTTTTCAATTTGAAAATACATCAAATGAATACATTTTGTTTTAATTTTTTACCTGGTTTTCGATTAAAAGTTATTATAATTTTGTGTGCGATTAATGTCTTATCCCCCGCCCCCTTTAATATTTATAGATAAATTCAAATAGTCTTTGAAATTGACAGCATTTTAAACTTTCTGCACAAATTTATTTATGATAATTAATCTACAATATATTGCAATATATTGCAATATTCAACATAAATATTGCAATATATCGCAATATGGTTTTCACTCGCAATACCCAACTCTAATAATATATTACACGTAGTATTTGCAGTAAAACTGCGAAAGATATTTTTTTCCCTTTCTTCTTTCTTTTTATTTTAAATACAGGGCTACCCCTAACAAATTAATGCTATAGTAAACTATAAACTATAGTTAACTATAGTTAACCCTATTTTTGTAATTTCTTGATTATCTCCTTTTGTACTAAGTTTGGTCAAAATTGGCCCAGTGGTTCTTGAGAAGAAGTCGAAAATGTGAAAAGTTTACAGACGGACAGACAGACAGACAGACGGACAGACGGACGGACAGCTAGACGGACGGACGACGGACAAAATGTGATTAGAAAAGCTCACTTGAGCCTTCGGCTCAGGTAAGCTAAAAACTACGTACGATTCATGAGGCGAGTTGGCCATTCGAGTTATTAAATATCTATATGTAAAAGTAACGAAAAACCAACCTTCTCAACACAGTATTAAACTGAAGGAGAGTCGTGTATTTAGAAAAAAACGTAATCAAGCCCCCTCCCCTTTTCCCCTCCATTCATATACATGTATACCCGCTACTCGTATCCCACACCAAAAAAAATCGGATCTCGCTACCGATTTCTGAAAATATTGTAAATTGTACACAAGGACAGTCCGCTGTTTGAGGCCAGAGAGGGCGTTAAATGTTTGAAAAATAAAAGAAAAACAAGATGTGTTTGTGAAATACTATGCGCCCGACGGCAACAAAGTTAAAAAAAAAGTTTAGCATATAGGTCACAGTAAAGGTCACAAGGTCATTGACCTTGGTGTCATTTGAAAGCTTAATTAATAAGCATACTAAATAAGAACTCTCTATCTCTCATGCTTCAAAAGTTTAGGCAAAAATTCAAAAAAGCTATTTTTAGCATATAGGTCAGTAAAGGTCATAAGGTTATGATCTTGGAGACATTCAAAACAGCTTTATTTGTAGAGTATGCATACCAAATATAAAGTCTATATCTCTCATGGTTCAAAAGTTATGGCAAAAGTTCGAAAAAGCTATTTTTAGCATACAGGTCACAGTAAAGGTCACAAGGTCATTAACCTTGACGTCATTTGAAAGAACTTTATTGGTAGAGTATGCATACTCAATATAAAGTCTCTATATCTCTTTGTTCAAAAGTTTTGGCTAAAGTTCGAAAAAACTATTTTTAGCATATAGGTAACAGTCAAGGTCACAAGGTCATTGACCTTGATGTCATTTGAAAGAACTTTATTAGTGGAGTATGCATACCAAATATGAAGTCTATATCTCTAATGGTTCAAAAGTTAAGGCGAAGGTTAACGTTGACAACAGACAGACAGACAAACAGATAAACAGACAAACAGACAGGACAAAAACAATATACGCCTCGGATCTATCGATCAGGGCGCATAAAAATTGCGCTTTACCATTATTAATTTTTTTTTTCAAGTTAACGAAAGAACGTCAGTCACTACATACGTTAAATGTAGAATTTGCATCCACTTCCCATAACTATATATGGCATATTAGCAATTCTATATAGCAAAAAGCAATGTATATTCATGCTTTTACGTTTAATACATGTATGTTCTCTATACTACGAATTGCCTTCGTATTATACAGATTGAAAATAAAGTAAAAGTTCTTATAACGGTTGAGGTAAATCATTCACAATTTACTTTAGAAAAGAATAGAGGCATACAAAGTGAGGACTATTCTATTTCCGACTCTCAGTTTTCAAAGTTCGTATTAGAAAACAATCATTTTCAAAAAATAGGTAATGAAAAATGTCTTTGATATTTATTTCATGAATTTAATGGCATAAAGGTTTGGCGTGTCAGGAAGACAAAAATATTCCTACAGTATTTGAATACTCTAAACAAGGTATAGCAATAAAATATGCATGATTTGTTTTAGGTTTTCTTGATAAAGGCCGGCGTTAATCTCTATATTACACGATCGTCTTATCAGTATAGAGTTTCAGACTAGCTGGTTTATAAGTAAACGAGTTTGCTGGGGCATATCTTTTTTTTTCTTTAGGAAAAAAAACATAAAATTTCATACAGAATGGGTTCAGAGTACTTTTATTTTTAAACAATGAAATTATCTTCCGTGCATTGTAAATACATATCAGTATGCATAAGGAAAGTTTACCAATTCATATTCCCAAATAATTTTAATGGCTATAATATACTGACACGCAGAAGAAACACGCTACAAGCAGTAATTTACAAATGTTTGATTTTTTATCTTATGATTTTCAAATGCGAATAAATGAAAGGCTAAACTCACTTTTCAGAACCTCAGAGATTTGATAAAAATGTTAAATGTTTATCTCTTTACTTTACTAAGTAAATTATGACCTTTAAAACACCCCCCTCCAAGCCATTCAAGTAAAACGTACAAGTCTGCCCTAAACAACAACTGCAGCTTAATTTCTACGATACAATAGGTTCATTAATATCGCGATCTCAGCGATTGAATAATTCTTTGACAATTTTAAATGCCCGTTTTTCAGATATTTAGGTCGAATTTTCTCTAACTTAGAGCAGTGTAGTTACCCTTGGATTTCTGGTACAAGGATTGTCCTTAATGCATATGATACGTAAGACCCTGTTGAGGCGAAATCTAGTGAAATTCGCATCAGCTACTATCCATCACTTTTACATTGAAATTTTCCAGCTAGAGCAATGGAAATGCGTACATAAGCCCTTTTCAAGAAGCCTTATCATTGTTACGGGAAACGAAAGGAGAGTTTATTTTTTGAAATATTGCTGCATTACTTATGATGAACAGTAAAAAAAACCCTTTAACCTCCATAATATTGCCAAATGTTCTTTTAAACATGCAATTTTTTATTTTTGTTAAGCAGACTCAAACTTGACTTCCGGTTATGGTATGGAAATCGTTCAACCGTTAATTTACCAATGTTTACCAAATTGAAGATATTTAAAATTTTAAGATACAAAATTCTTTACTTTACATAATTATTTCTCCCTTAAAGGTACTTGGACACAGATTTGAAGTTAATATTTTCTGTATACTACACAGTAATATGACGAATTATATATTTTATTAGCATTTCACACAAAAATTAATTCATTTAAAAGTTATTAAAACTTCAAATTTTTTGGCGGGTTTGATTGACACATCCTTGCACTTTCACATATTTTAACTTTATTCTTAATCCTTCAGAAAAATGGCAATCTTGTTGTGTTTTAATGAGACATTTTAGAACTTTAATCCAGAAAAATAATTTTATTCGGAGTAGAAATGTTAGAAAGCAAAACGCCTTCACAAGTATCGTCATTCCGAGCTAAGTCGTGTGTGCAAATCGATCACACTCGTGTTATGTACACAGTTTTTGTAAACAAGACAGGAGCTCTGTTTTTGTTGATGTTTTGATTTCACCGGGTGCGTTCAATTGTTAAAGTCTGCTCACCACAACTGCACGGACTGAGAATATATTGTGTGTTTGTTTTGCTTTCGAACATATCTATACTCTGAATTTTCTGGATTATAGTATTAATATTTCTCAATTATACACAACAAGATTGCCACTTTTCATAAGTATTAAAAGTAAAATTAAAATTTGTAAAAGTGGAAGGATGTGTCAATCAAACCCGCCCAAAATTTGAAATTTTAATAACTTTTAAATGAAATAAGATTTTTAATTAATTTTTGTGTGTAATGCTATTAAAATATATAATTCGTTATATTATATAGAGAAAAAAATAACTTCAAATCTGTGTCCAAGTACCTTTAAACAGGGTGTTGCGTTTCTTTTGCGTGTCAGTATACATCCATTTTCCACTACATATACTTACAGTAAATTTACAAAATTATCAATCAGTGCGTAATTCAATTAAAAAGAATAAAGAACTGTGCAGTCCTGTACGTGTTGTAGATGACGTTATGTTCAGACAACGCAATTCTCTTTAAGACAACAAATGTTCCTTTTAAAAAAAATACTTTGTCTCTGATCATGCGCTGAAACAGGATCTTCCTCGCCTTGCTAAAATTTGTTAAAATTATACATAACGCAGGTGCGATTAAAGTCATTTATACAACGTAAACCCTCAATTTTTATAACGTCACAATTATTGTAACGTCATTTACGTGTGACCTTACGTTTTTTGGCAATTTAAAAATTTACGTTGGCAGCGAAAGGGTTAAATAACTTTTTGGACATGTTGACCTTTGGCAAAACCTTAACTAATTTACTCACAAACGAATATATACGATGGTGTTACTATACCCCTCCTCTCAATCCCGTTGCACTGGGATACAGATGATTATATTAGAAATAAACTGTTCGTGAATTTAAAAAATACAAGGAAGATCGTGTGGAATATATTATATGTAAGCGTAAATACATAAGGAAACGTTTTTAGATGTTTGGATCCAGGAATACCCCCTTCTTATTCAACTACCAGTATATATACTTTATTTTTAAAGTTAGCAGCTTTAAAAGACAGGGTTTGAAAGCATAATATGCTACTAATTTCACAAGTTAATACGTGTCTAAAGATAATTTATCTCGTCCTGATCAAACCATTAAAAAGCACAATAAATATTTATTCAACTTTCTTTCTGTTTGGATTCAGAACTCGTCATTTCCTTTTGTTGTACTAGAGATGCTAATACACTTTCGAGAAAAAATGTTTTAAGTTAAATCAATACATTAATGTCCGGGGGGGGGGGGGGGGGGGGGGGGCAAATACATGTAATGTCCTTAGCAACAAAGAACGTACGTTTTATAACTGTCACGAGTGGGAAAAATAATCAACTACTAACATACCTCGTACGAGGTGAGGACCTTGTGTATCATTAAGTTAAAGAATTGCCAACATCGTTTACAAATGTATATATTTTATATGAGAGATAATTGCAGTAATTGCGTTCAGATATACTAAAATTAATCTTAATGCAATTTGTTAAGTTTTCATTTAATTCCTACTTTCGTTTTGAATAAAGAATTTAAATAAAAGGAAAAAGGAACATACCGATGTTACAAAGAAGTTCCACAGAAACAGAACAGACCATAACGCGGTCATCCACAGCATTTTTCTTATATATACCATTTAGTTAACCTTTCACATTTTATAAACTACTATGGCCACATTTTTTTCTTGCAGAACAAATATGGTGTCGGTAAAATATGAACCTTGTTGGATCAATTAACAGATTAGATTTAAAGTTCTTTTGCATAATATTACTTCCCCGTTCAATATTATAAGAAATCGTTTGAAGAAAAAAAATCTTGTAGTTGCATATCAACCCACTGAAAATGCACCCCACCAAAACTTGTTATAATAACTTTTTTTTATTATTTGAGGAACATTAAAAGGGTGTCTTCTAGCTATTCCAACTTTTTAAAAATCTCAATTCCACCTATTCCCACTTGCAAATAACAATAGATGTGTTGATTAGTTAATTGGTTTTTACAGTAATTAGACTAATTACATCCCATCTTAGATTTACCTGTATTTTACCAGTATTTTGTACATTATAAGACAGAAAATAAATATATTTATCAAAAAAAAATATAACATTTAAAAATTAAAATAAATACATGTAAATGTATATAAAAGAAATGCCGTTTTTGAGACCATTTCTCTTAAATCCGTGTCATAATTACGTACATAATTTTCACTTTAATTTCTTTTATTTAAAATAAAAAAACCTTTATATTTCCAAAATATTTCCAAACTGTTACTTCTACATAAGTTTACTTATTTTTCTTTTTCTTTTTCTCCATTTTCTTTGTTTCCTTATCTTGTTGTTGTATCTTTAGGTATCGTCCTTGAACTTGATAAAGGATAGGGCTTATAATGACGCCAAATGATTTATTTCTATCAATTCTACATTTTGACTAAAAAGTTGACCTGATGCTATTATCATATGCTGTAAATTTTGAATATACCGAGTGGCAGTAAATACAAATTAACCATGATTATCAAAATTAAATTTGTATTTACCCTAACCCGGTAAATTGTAAATTTTCTATGTACAGCTACCCAGTAAATTGTAAATTTTGTATTTATTGCGACAACATGACACTTTTTAAGGGCCAATTCATAACCTCGCGACAAACGGAAGAGAGGTGATCCGCTCCCTGACTTGTGCCGCGGAGTTAGCCATTAACCAGACGTCTGCTAAATGGGAGCTAAGGACCAAACCATTCCGCAGGATCATGTCACAGTTTGTGGTAAATAGAAAATTTAATATACCATACATGTACATTGAAAATGAAATTAATTTTATTTCATCTGACTACAGTGTCATATATAGTAAATTTTGATTTTGCCGGTAAAAATGTACCAATTTAAAATGTCCCAAAGTGACGTAAAGATTTTATCTTCAATTTATTTTTATCTTTCAAGTGTGTTTACTAGTCTTATGATAATTTGTTTTACGTTGTTTAGAATGAAGGCGCTCATTTAAAGAAGGTGACAAAGAAGATAGACGCAGCTTACCAGCCAATCAGAAAAGAGGTACCTGAATTACCAGCCAATGAAAAATCAGTTTTGGTTCAGTACATAGAGTAAAACAGAGTACAAAATGTTTACCAGCCAATAAAATTTATTTTTGATCGATTCAATCAGCTAAACAAATCAAACAGGCAGTCGATGAATGAAAAATTCATTTTTGAAGTCGATAGCTGAGCAGCTGCTGAAAGGATCTTTAAAAGAACCGGCAAATGGATGCATGCGTCTGAAATCCATAGGCCACATTTTTTTTTTAAAATTACACTGAGTTAAAGTTTTCAGTCCATACACCTCGTATGGATATATGGAATTTTTGATCTGTTACGAAGTAATTATCAAGGAAAGCCCACATTCCTTATTTAATAAATAAACGTATGCATAAAATATTTAGAATCTAAAATATCTACTCATCTGTAGTTAAGGTTCATAGGCGTCAGAAGCAAATTGAAATTGTTCGGGGGGGGGGGGCTAATTGAAAGTGGGGGGCTTAACCAATAAAAAAAAGATAAACCGCGATTTTCAATGCCTACAATGTATATTATGTATATATTTTCAAAAAAAGGGAGGGCTAAGCCCCCCTCCCCTAGCCCCTCCCTCGGTTCCGACGCCTATGAGGTTTAACATTCAATTTAAATTTACTAATTGCGTAGCTCATTGGTATTTTTTATCTAGTTGAAAAGCCACGAAGATAGCGACGAGTATGAGATCGAAGACGAGGACTCGGAAGCTAAAATGGCGGAAAGAATGAGACAGGTCGACAAAGTAACACACAATCGACGCGGAAACCGGATGCAGAAGATAGAATCCGAAAACGACGAGAGCACAGCAAAGGACAGAGCAGAGAAATCCGAGAAAAAATACCGGAAAAAGCTAGAAATGAGATGTGAAGGTCAATTTCAATTAATTTATTTATTTGTTGTTGTTGTGGTTTTCTGTACACGTTTTTGTAAAAAGAATTTTTGTAAATTGTCTTTCTTCTCTGTAGTAATTTTTTTTTTACACACAAGTAATATCACTACGTTTCATTTATCTCGTACCAAGAATGCGTGATTAAAGTCAATCAATCAATCAATCAATCAATCAATCAATCCATCCATCCATGCATCCATTAATCAATCGAACGATCAATCAATCCATCGACCACTCCATCAATTAATAATTTATTATATACTACAATCAATCGAACATTTAATCTTCGATTAATCATTAATTTATAAATTGATAAACGATCAATCAATCAGATGTATGGAACAAGGCAGTAATCAAGTGTCGAGGAGCCTTCAGGGATTTGGAGAGAAAGTGTCTGTCCGCAATTCCTGTCATTGGCTTTGTTCTGTGTCTGCCACTGAAACTGACAATCTTCTGCGAGCTGGCTAAAGGTAACCTTGAACTTTGTTACTTTTAAAATAAGGTTAACTTTAAATATTGTTTGCGTGCCCTCTTCCGAGAATGAGTCAGAAAGTACATGTAGATGAGACTTTTTTTCCAGAGTATTTCAACACAAATGCTGAATATTCAAGATATATTCTTTGGGATTCAGAGAAAAATAATTACTTCATGAAGAAAAATTAAGGATTTTAGTCGTGTACGTTATTTTTAGCCAGTTCTTTTGGAGGGGACAACTCTATGACTTTGTAAACATGGTTCAAGGGGCTGGGGGTTGTGTTCATTTTCAGATTATTTTGACCTCCTTTAGAGGAAGAGCTCCATATAAAGATATATAAAAATGATAAAATTTTAAGATTAAATTGTATGAACTTTTTCTTTGCCAAATTATAGTTGACAGCTTAAGATACATGTATCACTTATTTAAAAAATTAAGTTAAATATGGTGTTTAACTTGTGGTTAATTTGTTGACCCCCCATCATCTTGATCACATGATTCAATAACGTTAGTTCATATTTGTAAGACATTTGTCGAAATAATAATATCTGGCCTTTTTTAAACTCGCCTTCAAACTGCTAATGAAAAAATAGTTTATTTTGTACATAACATAAAAATCAAATCAAGACAATATCAGTTTGTGAATAATTGATTAAAAAAATTAATTGTCTACGGTACTGCAATTTGAGTAAAATTAATGTACATTGTATAAATGTTAACGTGAAGATGTATCTAAAAAAAGATGTTAAATGCTAAGATTGCAAATTTTAAAACATTTTAATATGAATAATGTTAGTACAGTGCAGTTAAATGTACAACTAAAGATAAAGGATGAGATCTCTTAAAAAATCCCGTTACATTGTTTCTCCTTTTGTCAGTGGTGCCAAACGCTTTAGGAATGGAGTGTAAATCTATGGACGTTATGGAGCCAGGCTTTGGTGACGTATATGTGACGTCAGAGGACACAATGGTCGACATGGAGGAAAACTTTGACGTCAATTTACAGTATAAGGTCAATATAAAAGTACAATATACAAGGAATTTACGTGTACAATTTCATTTAAACACCATATGTTTTTTTCTACGTTTAAATGGTCCTAAAAACGGTGAAGGAAGGAGAGGTCCATCCCAATGTAATTGCTGATAGGTACAAGTAGTTGTGAATTGTGAATTTCATGGCTTTTAGTTTAAAATACAAACCAAATTGAATTGCTGGAAAGTGATTACACGTACGATACTCATTTGAACTATAAAGCCTATGGGCCTCTTGTCATTTGATTGTGAAGCTTGTACATATAAGACTCGTATATTATATTACATATAAAAATACTAGTATTTAACCATTTTGGTGTCTATTGCATTAACAGATGATACAAACTCCAGAAGACATAGACTATACAATGGCAGAGGAAGTTCGGAAGGGAACTATGCACGAGTTTGATAAGAAGCAAGCTTGGGTTGATTTCTTCACGTCAATCCTCGCGAGATTCATGGCATTTACATTTATAGTAGTGATCGTGAGGTTTGAAATTTAATAATTCCTGGTGGGGTACTACTAAACAGAGAACCCTAGAGAACCTTAGAGAACCCTAATGATTTTTAAATAATTTATTTTCTGTATATGAAATACTTATATTTCAGTAAACTTATATATCATGTTAAAACAAAATTAAACTCTAAAAAATATATTTTGACAAGTTTTTTGCTTATTTAAAAGAGTACTATAATCTCTTATAACTTCATCATTGCTTTTATGATAAAACTAGTTAGAAATTAATAAATAAGTTTAAGATCAGAGTAATTGCTTAAGAATTATACATATCATTACAATTAAATAAAAAATAATGTAAAAAATAATTGGAAAATTGTGTGATAAAAATTTTCATTTCGATAAACAATGGTTTTTTTTAAATTCAGTCGGGATCGGGATATCAAAAAATATTTTGCCATCTATTTTGTTACTTTTTTCCGATTAAAACTTCCATAAAATAACTTTCTCATTGATTCTATGAATAAATATTTATAAAATATTATTTATTTAGTACAAATCAACTCAATTACGCATAAAACATAAAAATATAAAAACATATAAAAAATCACCATATTAACCTAGGGTTCTCTAAGGTTCTCTGGGGTTCTCTGTTTAGTAGGACCGATTCCTGGTGTTGTTTTCAATCAATTAATAACTTCTTTCGTCCCTGTATA